CTTGGGAGTGAGAGCTGTAGAACCAAATTAAGGAAAGGGAATACAGTCAGGGGGAGGGAGTCCCAGAAAGTAGGCAATGAAAGTAAGGTTTTTAAATATCTTTTTTTCTTTTTCTTTTCTCTTTGTATTTCTATATTTTTGGAAACTTTAATAAATATGATTTAAAAAAAAAAAATGAAGGTGACTTGGAAACTACAACTAATCCAGAATGCGGCAGCTAGACTGGTGACTGGGGGCGGCCGCCGAGACCACATAACACCGGTCTTGAAAGACCTACATTGGCTCCCAGTACGTTTCCGAGCACAATTCAAAGTGCTGGTGTTGACCTTTAAAGCCCTAAACGGCCTCGGTCCAGTATATCTAAAGGAGCATCTCCACCCCCATCATTCTGCCCGGATGCTGAGGTCCAGCACTGAGGGCCTTCTGGCGGTTCCCTCATTGCGAGAAGCAAAGCTACAGGGAACCAGGCAGAGGGCCTTCTTGGTAGTGGCGCCCGCCCTGTGGAACGCCCTCCCACCAGATGTCAAAGCGATAAACGACTACCTGACATTCAGAAGACATCTTAAGGCAGCCCTGTTCAGGGAAGTTTTTAATGTGTGATATTTTAGTGTTTTTTGGTTTCTATGGAAGCCGCCCAGAGTGGCTGGGGAAACCCAGCCAGATGGGCGGGGTACAAATAATAAATTATTATAGTATTATTATTCAAGTAACATCAATGTACCCAGTCAAAATGTCTGCTTAGGGCTTAGGGCAATATTGTCCACATCATACAGTCATGACTGCTCAATCCCTACAGGAAAAGGCTCTAGATCAATTACCTATTGGAGGAGGAAACTCATGTTTCTAACGCAAGACATGCCACTGAGCCTGAGGGTAGCTGCTTATGCCAGCCAAACTCTAATAGCTTTGCTTACAAAGACTGATGACCCAAACACTATGAAATTGTGCACTTTAAGCCAGTGTAAAGTTCATTCCACAGCATGACGGGGGGCCTCACCACCATCTGGCGCTAGGGCCAGAACCTATCACTAATCCATTGCATGAGCTTCCTTCAGGACTGCTGCCCTGGTTGTCTGCTCCAGCATCTGTATGGCCCAGCGGTGCCAGGTATGGACTATTATGCTGCTTTTCTGGAAATCGGGAAGAAAAGGGGTCCATGTTGTACTATCCCACCAGATAACAGCTTTTGCAGCTCCTGCAAGCCATGTGTGAGCTGGTCCTTTAATATTCCTAGTAATTAGCAGAAGCTTTCATGGAGCTGCTTCGACACATACATATTTATTAGTTGTTTATTCATAAGGATGGAATTCCCCATCACAGATCAAACACCAGAGATGGAATTTCCATATCATCCTACATTAGCTGAACCATGATAATTTCAAGCAGAATCAGTTCACACACATTCCTTGATGAGTTACTGTATTGAGTAATCAAGTGGAGTATGTGCATTTATAAACTAGCCTGTAGATGTTCTGAGGTGTTTCACGGTACCTGTTTGCTGCTTAAAATATATCTGTAGTGTGGCTCATTTCACAGAACCACAGTGCTGTAGGGCCTTGTGTGCCTCCCACTCAGACAATCCATTACTATATATCATGGAAAGACCAAGGAAGTCTTCAGATTACAGAGGAAGATGTGCAATTGCCTTACTAATGAGAATTACAAAAGGCAGCTGATATTGCTGAAGAATAGAAGCACCATGCAGCTCTCCCTTAAAAAGGTCAAGGATGTAGTTTGTAGCTAGGCTATAACTTCTTAAAGCACCTTCCAATATAAAGGCTAGGGACGTATATCTACTTGTGCAAGCTGACTCGCAATCTGATGGCTCAGACATGTAGATACACAACTGCTACAAGCTTACAGAACATATTTATGAGGACTATACATCTGAAGGTTTTCTGTAGCTATCGTCATCAGTTCTTCTTTGGCATACAGATGGCTTATCGCATAATAGGCCTTATTCATTTCTAAACAAGATATTATGGTGACCTTCCCCGACACCTGCAGAAGAGAGAGAAATTATCTTGTTTCCGCATAAGCCAGTAGTTGTTGAGCAAGTGTACAATGAACCTCACAGAAGTTTAACAAAGTATCTGACTTGCATTGGGGTGGTGTACTAATTATTTACAATGTAGATCCATGAAATGACGCAAGGAGCCAAGACAAAAAGTGGGAGAAAAGCTTTGGTACACAATCACAGGATCTTGTCATGGGTTCAAGTTAAGTGCATAGCAGACCACACAGTTCACAGGCAGAAGTTATGCTAAAGGGAGTCTTCCCTTTGAGGGCAGAGGTCATCTGAACACATTCTCCTGTGGCCAAGCCAATCTCCACCACTACAGCGAATATTGTATGCTGGACAGAGCTCAGGCAAAGCTTGTCTGAATGACTATGGGGAATTGAAACCCGAACTCAGGCTGAGCCTGAGCCTTGTGAGCTGTCCACAAAGGGAAATGTCCACAATGGGGACATTTAGAGCCACTTCCATGTGAATGTACTTGATATCGGTATGTAAGTCATCCAAAAAAATTTCTCTTGTGGTGGGAAGTGCAACTCCAAGTGACATTTTTTAAAATCAATGCATAGATTTCTTACAGCAAAAATGAGCAGTTCGTGGCACATTAATGATACAGGAATGCTTAAAACTCTGATTTTTTAAATTATAGATTTTAAGAATCAATTCTGGATGACACAAGAATAGAAGTCTTAAGGGCCCATTTAAACAGCAAAATGCCAGATCAATAATGTTATTTTTAAATGAGGCATTCAAGAACTAGAGGATAAACACCAGTTTTACATTTATTAGATTCCTGCAAGCAATGCTGCCAGACTTCTTCCATCAGTACACTGGCATCAAGCTTGCTGCTGTGCCTCTTGTTTCCATAGGGAAAAGGAAATAAGGCGTCTCATAACAGAATTCTCCACTTCCATGGTTTGGCTTATCAGTGGCTGCTTGATTCCTACTGAAGGGCGGCACATAAACTATGTGACCATTTTGGGGTACATATTACTGTGAGTTAGATCATTAGGTTGGTTGAAAGGGAATTCAGTAGCCATGGAGTCAGAAAAACATGGGATTTTGGATTTAGGCATATGGATAAATAATGACAAAAATGTAGGAATTGAATTGAATGGGGTGGGGGATTTATGTTGGAAGGCCTGTGGGGTGTGGTCAAGGCGTAGATAAAAGGACATGGGTGGGTTGTGATTTCAGAATTTTAATCAATTACAAAATGTATATCCTATGGCTCAAGGAGAATCAGAAGATATGGGAGAAGGTAGTCACAGAGAGGAGAAATTAATTTTTGCACAAGTGTCTTTTCTTCAAATATCAGCATCTTTTACAGGGATATTTACAAATATCAGCCAAGTTACAGGGAACCAGGCAGAGGGCCTTCTCAGTAGTGGTGCCCTCCCTGTGGAACGCCCTCCCACCAGATGTCAAAGAGAACAACAACTACCAGACTTTTAGAAGACATCTGAAGGCAGCCCTGTTTAGGGAAGCTTTTAATGTTTGATGTATTACAGTATTTTAATATTTTTTTGGAAGCCGCCCAGAGTGGCTGGGGAGGCCCAGCTAGATGGGCGGGGTATAAATGTTGTTGTTGTTGTTGTTATTTTGGTCTGTGTCCTTTCTGTGTAAGGTAACATATAGCTCTGTATTCAGTCACTTATCATAGAAAAGAAGAGTAAGTTCTTGTAGCAACTTGAGCATTAATTTCTACACCACTATTAATTTGTTTTATCCCACACTCTAAGGTAATTTCTTTTTTAAAAATTCCCATCTTGCCTTTAGTACGTTTTAGTGCACAATTTATAGGTTACCCAAATAACAAGGTTCTTTCCAGAAGGGTTACAATCTAAGGCAGGGACAACAAAGATGGGAAGAGACAATATGGCCAGATGGAAGTATTACACAAATTGGATGTGCAAGGATTAAGTGCTAACAAATTGCAGAGAAAGTAAATCTAAAGTGAGTGGGTCAATAAAAGGTTTAAGAGGAAGTTGACTTTGATAATGGGTTGGCAGGCAGAGAGGAAAGTGGACAGAGAAGGAGAGGCTATGTAGAAATGAGAAGTGGAATGCTAGAAGACTGGAGAAGAAATGATGAAGGGAATGGGGATGGGAATGGGAATGGCAGATTAAACTGAAGGAGATAGAGGAAAATAAATTATTGTTGGGAAGCAGAGAGTGAGGAAGAAATTTACATAGTCAGAAGGTAAACTGGAGATCCTTAAGTGGAATTAGAGGAGCATTGAAATTGATGAGGGAAATGACAGGGAGAGAGCATTTTTAAATAACCGGGTACTTGAACTAGGACCTCTGTGGTCCAAAGAGCCTACACTACTCAAGGAACAGACCCCTTTGCACCAGGAATGCAAATACCCATTTCAGCCCATCAGCCTAGGCAATAAAACTGCAGGGAATTGTCAAGACAGGAGGAGGAGTGCTAACATCCAAGGCAGAGACTTGCCCCTTTAAGGTCTTCCGCTGCTCAAGGATGAAATGGCTAATCAGGCCGCAAATGTATAAAAGGCTTCATTTCACCCTTAGACTTTCTTTTTGGAGCAAGTTGTTCACCCGGAGCTTTCCATGGTGCTGAAGCTAGTGGGCTGCCTTGCCCTACGATCCTCTGTGGGTTTCTTGTTAAGGTCAGGCCAGCAAGATGGTATTGGGAAAATTATGAAATACAAATTAATTTTTTATCCCCTTCACTATGCTGTTGGCTCATAGATGAATACACTTTTATAGAATACATCGGTTAGAAATTAATTCAGAGTTTGTTACCAGCTGCCTGTTTAGTGATAGTTTTCCATTTTTATGCTATTGAAACACCTGCCAAAGATGACTTGGTTTAACATGTTCTGAGCTTATTAATAATGAAAGTTGATGCTGCAAATTCAGACTTAATGAAGGAGGCAGATATTAGATCACTTTATGGAAGTCTTGTGGCCAGTAATCACATCAAGCCCATGTGAACTGGAAGAAGTGCAAAAATATAGGTATGTTGTATTAATTGCCTTCAAAATATAATGCTGCCTGTATCTATGATAAGTGAGCTGAAATAAAAGTGAGTAAGTAGTGGTAGAAATAATTGCAATTATTTTTATTTTGTTTATTTTTTCATAAAGGGTGGGTTTTTGTCTAAGTTGCTGGCTCTGTCTTTGGTAAGAGGTTCATCTTTACTTAAGGACTCCAGCTTGTTTGGCAGTCATTGACTCCAACAGAGTGGGGTCAACTATGGGTCCACTACGACTTCTGCGTTAGAGGAGAGCAACGTGACAACTTCAGACCAGAGCAGTAGTGGCATAATGGAATTCTCTTGCACGTGTGCTTCTGGTTGATTACGTACATCTGGTGCTGGCCCTGAGGGCAATTCTCTTTCCCACTCTGAATCCCCAGCCCTCATCCTCAGATACCCCCTGTTCAGATCCCAGAGTTATGAAAAAATTGGAATTTTAGGCCAGCAACATTTGGAGAGCTACAGATCCCCATCACTGAAATAAATGAAACTTGTGAATGTTTCTGTGGTGCATGTGCACACATGCACGTGCACACACCAAAACAGTGAACCTGTCTCACATGGGAGTCTAGTCAAGAGGAAAACATATGGGCAGGACCTAGGACAGCTCCAAGGGGTCATGTAAGGCAGATATAGCAGATGTTCTCTCTGCAGGGAGCTAGAGTCAATGGAAGCCTTATGGAGGCTGACCAAGCCTAAAATATGGTATGCTCCATCTGGCTGGCTGCTTAAGGCACTTGCCTTATTTGGTAGCCTTTGATTTCTGTGAAGCTGGGGAGACAGAGATTTTTGCAGAAGAATCATCCTCCAAGTCTGGATGGTGAAAAAGCTGTGTCCTTTAGCTGGGAAGGCACTGAATAAGGTACTGGTGGTTATTCCCCCATGGAAGTAGTGTGAACCTCCTCCTCTTCGGTCCTTCACCACAATCTGCAAGGTCGACAGGTATGGTCATGACAGCCAGTGGCAAGACCAATAGAAGATGTATCAATTGACTTTAGTATGTAGTCTTCTGCCAACCCCCCTCTGTAGCAGAGGAACTCCCTGCATGTCTGCCATTTCAATTACGTCTTTATTTGCTCAAAGCTGATAGGGCCATTGCATCCCTAGTTATAGTTTTTCTCTGTGAATTAAACATCCAAGTGTAACTGACTGTAGCAACATTTTCATGACATTTAAAAAATGTCAAGGGGGAGCTGTTCACTTGATGGGAATGGTATTCATTTGCATTGTTTTTCCTTAATTACTGTTGTACTCCGACAAGGAAATGTGAAAAATAATGAGCAGAGACTCTCTATAAAATAAATGATATACTATTATATAAACTGCCTAATCTGTTATTATCATCATCATCTATTTAAATAAAAAGAAATCGGTGAGAAGGCAAAATTTTAATTTTTAGTAAAATGTGGATGAAATCAATCCAAAAATGGGACTGAGCTTTTTACTTGTGAGCACTGGTCAACTTCTGGTGGTAAAGACACTGAATAAACAAAGAGAGAGGAACTGGCTTCATGCTACTGCTAGTTAGACCTGTGTACCAAACTTGGTCAGATCCTGAACTGAATCTAGCTGATTTGGGTTGACCTGGTATTTAGTCAGATAGGATTGTGGCAACCCTGGATTACCCCAGGTTGGATAGGGTCCACCCAAAGCAATCTGTGGGTGTCAAAAGCAGAAGGGGGGTGATATAACAGAGAAGATGGGGGAGATGCGCAGACATCTCCTGCCTTTCTCCTAACTGCATTTTAATTAGGGTTTAAAATCCAATTAAACATGAGGTTGGGAGAGGGAAGAAGTAGATGTACACAACAGTCTCTGTGTGCCTCCTCTCCCCCCTCCCTGGACTACATCTTTAATTAAGGTTTTGAACCCTAATTAAACACTGTGGAAGGCCCCTGAATCTGCTCAGAGCACAGATCTGGGTTGAATCAGCTCAGGTTAGATCAGTGCCACTCTGAAGCACTGGATCTGCTCTGATATAGGATTGGAGGGTTGTGCACAGCCCTAGAATTTTTGCATGACTATTGTGATTTTGGATAGACCACTGAATGCTTGCTACTTGCTGGGATTGCTGAGAAGAATGCTAAACAATGTAGATTTTGATCAGATCTAGCCAGGAACTTAATCCAGTTCTTAAGCAAAATGGCATACTCTGGATCCCTTAAAATTTATTAGTTGTGCCCTGAGGACATCCTGAATAAGCACCATTATTTTATAAATGTAAAAGACATCAGTGGACTACTACTGTATTCAGTGAACTTTTTACAAGGTTAGTGCTAGTGCAAGGATTTTTTGCAAGGATTAGTGCCCCTACACTATCCCCAGACCTGTTCCATAGGGTTGGGGAGGAAGTCCTGAGCAAGTTTAAGGAGCACAGATGGGGAGGTAGGGAGAATGATTGCATTGACAGAAGGTTTACCTTAGCATTATGTTGGAAATAATATTGGGATTCTAATTTTCTGTTGTAGAGCACACAAAATGCTGGTCTTCAGAAACCCTAGCCTAGGAAACCACAGTGAAAGTGAGCAGAATTATAAGAGAACCCCTTTTTCAAACTAGGAAAGTGTAAAATTCTGGCTTAGCTAACTTTGACCCCTTGATTTGCAGCCCTGTTCAGAGGCGATTAAAAGGGATCCCTTTTGGCAGCTTTTGTGGACAAATGAGAAAAATTTGGAGAACAATGGGACAAGAAAGAAGTTTTGGGTAGGGAAGTACCTGCACTGTCTGTTCCTTATGATAGTGTGGGCAGCTGATCCCTTTCCTCCACAAAATGTATTCAAGACCAGATGTGCTCCCCCAACCCAGCTAGAAAGCCATGTTCTCACTCTGTAGTGGCTTTCTTTATCCTCCACTATGACATTTTCCATTATGTCATCATGATGTCAAGCCTGATTGGCTACATGGCCATCTGAAATCTTTACATTCAGAGTATGATCCCCAATTGGCTGTGATTGTGTTGTGAGGAAGGAGATCCCCAGTGATAGAAAGAAATGACTGGTGCAAGCAACAGCCAGCAGGCATACACAAGATTAGCATTTGGCAGTCTTTGGAGAAAATATATAACTTCCCCCCAAAAGCCTCCTTTTCATACTGAAAGAGTTTCCTGAGGACTTTCAGTGCAGCTGTACTTGAAATTAGCTGTGTCTCATCGAAAGAAGATGAGCTGATAGGTCTGGGAGTTCAGTGAATCAATGCAAAACAGTATATGACACACAGTGATCCCTGAACAGGGTGCATTGCTGATGCAAAGAACTCTCTGTGATCTGCAAAAGCTCTCAGGCTGCGAGAGCCTCTTTGACCCTAACTATTGTGTAACTGTTTTACTGAGTGTATCCTTTCAGAACACATGCTGCTTCACATTTGCTTCCTTGCCATGGAATACCAGGGATACTTTACAAAGGTAGAAATGGCAATATTTTGAATGGAGGTGTGTGTGGTTTTTCTTTTCTTTTTTTTAAAAAGGCCCATTGAACAAAGTTGGATCAGTTACAAAGCTCATTGACTGAATAGTACACTCCTTTCACAGCAATTGTGCACCATTTGACTCCAATTACATCCCAAAGAGGTGTGTAAGGCATGGCAAAAGTTTTTGTCCTAGGGAAGTTACCCAGGGTTCAGGGATAGTAGTGCCTCTGTGCTGCAGTAAATTGATCTTCCTTTGCTTCCATTAACTCCACCAATGAACAGGATTTGATTCTCCTCACAAATGGTGGGAACTGGCTTGACTTCAGATTTTTATCTGACCCGCTTTGTATTTTTAAAATATTCTGATGGGGGTGGGGAGGACCACTGAGAGTGATTCTGGGTGATAGGAGGGACTCTTTTTTTTTCAAAATCCTGTCTAGAATACAGAATCATTTGTATTTAACTGGGATAGAAAATGACTGGTTACCCAGTCTCCAGGTGGGCAGCATTTGTGGCCCATCATAGCAGGCCCTCAGCTCCATGAAGAAAAGTCCTCACCATTGGAGCCTGACTGTTGAGGAATTTTCCCTGCCCCCCTCTGCAAGGGAGGGTGAGATGGCCCGCTATCCTCAAGATTTAAATTGGCCAATTAGGTGGCCAGAGGGGGCAGTGCTTCAGTGATGGACCAGAGTGCAGCAGTCTTCACTCCGATCCACTACCCAGCTCTATAGGCCAGCTGCTCCCAAGTTTGGGATTGCAGTGGACTGAAGAACAAAAAGGAAGCAAGTTTTTGAAGATCAAAAGAACAAAGAAGCATTGAGCCACAAGGGATGGTGAGGAATAAGGCATAGTCTCCGTAGTGGAGGAGCAGCGTCCACACAATCAGGAAGAAGCAGAGAACATTGTGGGACAGAAAAGAAAAATTCCACTTTAACAGGGATAGAAAATAAGTAAAAGGGCTGAAGACATCCTGGCCCACATCACAAAGTAAACCATTGCCAGTAGTTTACTATGAGTGTGGAGACTGCTCCCACTTCATTCTTCCCCTAGCAGAAATGAGAGCCAGAAATCAGGATCCCTGGCTCAGCATTGCAGCTGAACCAGAGTTTGTGGTTTGTTTTGTTTCACAAGAATAAACTTTGGCTTAATATCATGGTTTGTTTACATAGGCAGTTTGCATGGAGCAGACATTTTCCAGGTTGGGGTGTAATTCTGCTAGATAATTGGTTAATCAACACAGCCATCACATCACTACATCTTCTTCTCCTAGGAAATGGGCCATAACCCCATTCCTGCCTTTGCTTTGGAAACATTAATTGTGGGGGAGTGGAAATGGACCAACTTACTATTTTGCTCGAATGTCATCTTCATATTTATTCCCTGATGACATTCCAGGCTATTATGTTTAGCACTACCTCCTTTCTTCTACCTTCCGAATAAGGGAGAAAGACTCCTCAAAAAAGAGGACTCTTTATCTAGGACCCCTTCAAATATGACTTGCTTACTGTTTGTGTGCTAAGCTGGTTTGCTTCATTTCCTTCCAGAATAAGCATCCTGCTATCTCAGTCTGCGAAGCAGTTGAGACCTGGACTGGACTGGGGTGAAGAGGGCACATTTGCCTGAGAAGCTAAAATAAGTCATGGCAGGTGGGGAGGATGCTGACTGTGTGGAGTTTCAGCCTGCCTGCTGGGTTGCCAGAGAAACCAGAGATGTTGCTACTGCAGAAGCAGTAGGTAAACCAACTGAGATAAAGGCCTGGGAGGCAGGGATGGCAAAGAAAAGGAGGTAGATAGATGGAGGAGAGGAAGCATAGCAGATGGGAGATGGCACTAGGTACACCAGGACTGGGAGAAACCAACCGTAACTCAATGAGGGATGGGCAAATCTGTCGATTTTGGTTTCATTCCATTTCTCATTTTTCCAGCCCTAAGTTGAGTTCTCCCCATTTCCACACCAGTGTGTGATTTTCCTCCACACCTATGAAAATCCATCAGCATTTTAGTGTACATTTTAAAATGGAATGTTGCCAAATATACACATCTTTGCAAAAGAATTTTGCCAAATACAATGTGTGTATATTTTCACTGCTATATGCATTTTCATGCACACAGTCCCTAGTATATGCATTTTGTACACACATTACTTGGCTGGAGAATTGCACTGCAAAATTGAGAGAAGTGTAAACTGAGTTCTGGCGAGTTCCAGCTGAAAAAAAAGCCCTGACCCTCCTTAATATTCTTCCCAATGCCATGACTCAGGTCAGAGATGGAAAGGGAGCAGTTATTATTGAAAAATATGACAGTTAAAAAATACCTTCTGTTTGTCTGTGAAAGGCAATTGCTGCTGTGTATTTTATTAAAGAATTGATTGAAGGTGGAGTGGTTTTCCACTGGGACTGTGATAATTGTGGCAATGTTAGGCCTTTCCTCCTCTCTCCATGGTACCATCCAAAATCATCCCATTGCTGCTGTCATCCTCAGAAGTGAAACTTCCATTGGCACTAATGGAAGGTTCCCTCCTGGCATTGCTCAGAGTCAGACTGTCCTATTCAGGAGATGAAACAGTGCAGCCCAAGGGGAACAATTTCCTTCAGCACTGATGAGCCCACTCCTTTATGCAAGGGGTGGGATCCTGGCCCAGTCATCATCATCATTTATTCAATTTATACACCACCCCATACCTGGAGGTCTCAGGGTGGTTTAGAAACAAGACCACAACATATAAAATCAAACTAAAAACAATAACCCAATAAAAAAACCCAAAAAAGAACCACATTCTAATAGGGTGTTGGATGTCAATAAGATCAACCAAAGGATGTCAATAAGATCATCATCATATATTCTTTATACCCCACCCATATCCATGGGAAAGGGCTGTTGTTCTACTGCTAGGCACACAGAGTCCAAAACATTCAGAATGGGGGTGGTCATGGCTGTTGGGTGTATTAGTAGTGGCAAGTGGTTAGTTCATGCAACCTACCTCACATATTCTTTGAACATGTGGAGGGCTGTCAGGCTCCCCTGTGGTGTGGCAAGAAAGATAGTTCAGTCTGTTGCTAATATGTTCACTACAAAAGAAGAAGTCCGCCTCAGCTGCTGCTTTGGATTTCAATAGCTGTGATTCACTTACAACCAATAACTGTTTTCCTCTGCAAAATCCTCTTTCTCATTAAAGAGGTACAAGCTTTTGTTTGATTAGCCTAAAGTCTTGTGATGTCCCTCACCATGTCTAATTCCCCTTTTCATTAACAATGGGAGCATTTTACTACCCCAGTCCATTTTTGCTACATGCATCTGCCCTGCTTTCCTTAAGGACCTTGTTGATTTCATTTGTTCATAAAGTTAGAGATGGCAGAAACTAAATCTGGATGTTTTGTTGTTCTGTCTCAGGACTCCTGCAGGATCAAAATGGATTAAAGTTACCCTGTAGATGCAGTTGTGCAAATTCAGCATAGTGAGAGAGGATGAGAATACATGAAAGCCAACAGTTCCAAGAGGGGGGAAAGGGTATTTGAATGGGAAACACACATGTTTGTTCTTAGACAGTAGTAGACAAAACTAAGATGAAATGCTGCTATAATTGAACATGGCTTTGGGGTGAAAGCACATTCTAAGGGAAATGTACTGGCACATGTTGGTTAATATAACAGTACTGTAGCTTTGGACTTTATTAAAACATGAGTAATTCCAGCTCAGCTGGGCTGTTCTCAGTCTTCTCTGTGTTTTGGCAATCAAAACCCCCATATTTTCCCTAGATGTCTCTGAACTGAAGTGCATTCATCATAAAGGCTAAGCTTCTGTTGTTTGCAAATGAACACTTCAAATAATAGTTGTGGGCAGAATCCCTCCTTGTATTTGAAAATAAATTACCTACTACTGAGCAGTTTGTGATATCATTTTCAGAATATCTCTGTGTTTCTAACTGATGAAAAACATAGCGCTGACTAATCTTTTAACTTCTGAGTCCTTCCTCATTTAGGACCTGGACCCACCCTCAGGTTTGAGTAAATTATAATTAGAGCATAGTTGGAAAACAGAGGGTGGTATTCAACTAAGATTTACTCAGAGAAGACCCACTGAAATTAATGAACTGGGATAGTGCAGTCGATAGAGCATGAGACTCTTAATCTCAGGGTTGTGGGTTCGAGCCCCACATTGGGCAAAAGATTGCAGGGGGTTGGACTAGATGACCCTCATGGTCCTTTCCAACTCTATAATTCTATGATTCATTACATGACTAAGTTCGAACCATTAATTTCAATTGGTCTACTCTGACTAAAACAACACCACCTAGAGAGTTTAACTGTCCATGATGTTTCTGAGTTATGGCATTTCATTTAGTGGCATATATAGGACACAAGCAGGTATTCAGCTATAGTTAATAATCTTTGAATGCATGAAACAGATCAGGT